TTACAATGGTAGAGCACACTATGTAAACTTCTTCAATCAAAACATTGTATAACAGTGGTCATAGCCACCGGTATTTTGTGTATAATTGGTGGGGTTGAAGAGGAAGACATTTAAAAATTCAAGCCAATAGGAATAACAGAGAACTTAAAATAATTCTACCTTATTTAAGGCGAAGGTGAAAGGGGTATGTGTGGAATGACCTTATATAATCATTACGTATAAAGAAATCTCTTCCTATATTATATAGTGATTTTTAAGGGTCACTCCACAGAACCCCCTCGACCCCCCCTCCCCCAACAGCCCACGGCCCGACTCTAGATAATGTAAGATTCCATTGATTTTTACCTTATTTTACACCCCCTCCAACCCTTCTCTACCACCACTTAACATCCCACTCAATTTTAAAAAGTCTCCTCAGCCCTCTAACTGCAACCCCTCAGCCGCTCTTCACTGTAATATAAACCTCTTACCAGACAACCCATTAAGCGTCCCTTACTATTTTAAAGAATTCCCTCCAGCAACCTGCAGCTGCATCTCTAAATAAGGTAAGATTATGTGGATTATTATTTAATTTTTAGTTAAACTATTTTAGCACCACTCCTCCTCCCAGCTTTCTTTTCACTTTTTAAGAAATCCACCTGTTTTCTTACAATTTCTAATCACATTATCATCCTTACGTTCCAATATTTGTTCTAGTACTCTTCAGACGTTTTCCACCCTTTTCTTAAAAAGTATTCTATCAACATAATTTGTTAACTCATTTTCACAACACCCTTGAGGTAGTGGGCTTATTTGATCTTTAATTCTCATCATGTTTATTAATTTCATTTTTTCATATTAAGGTAACAATTGTTCCAATTTTGAAATTAAGTTAATTAAATAAGCCTTCACAAATATTGTTTTAAAATCCAATTGGAAATTGATGTAAATATCACTATCAGATTAATTATCATGGATGTAAGTAGCATGATCTATGCTGTAATATGTTCTTATTTCTCCTTTTGCGTGATTTAGAATTTTATCATTTAAAAAGTAAGTATATTTGTTATCTTTAGTATGTTTTGTTTATTAAATTATTTCAAACTCTTTCCCGATTCACATTAAATTTTTTTACTGAGTTGAAACCGTAGTATTCTAAAATATTAGCATTGCTACTTTTTTGTGCAAAATTTTGACAAAGATTTCTGAATGACGAAAATTTAATAGTTGTAAACGTGAAAGAATATTTTCACCTGCTTCAAGTGTGTATAATGATAAATTAAAGCAACTGTTGAAACACTGATGATTTTAAATATTTTATTCGATATCACTACAATCTTTTTTTTTTGCATTGTTTAGCGCCAATGTCGTGAGTGAAGATAAAAGCAATTTATAATTTAAAACTTCAAAGTTAAGTTTGTGACATGATATCTAAATTTCTCATAAACAATTCTGATAATCTTTTTAACAGTAAATTAAATGTATACACCAACACTTATTACAACGTATCAGATTTAGGAAAAACTTAAGGAAATTATGAAGAAAATCATGATTCTGATATTAGAAAATTGCAAGAAAGTATAAACAACGATTTCTATTAAAGAACAAAAAACAGATACAAATAAAAATAATATATTAAAAAACAAAAAATTATAAGAACATGCTATTTTAGTGAGCTTTTTCTCACATAATGGGAGTCATTATATATATATGTATATATAAATAAATAAATTGTTTGTTCTTTACTAGAAATAGTTATGTTTATATTAACTCTCTAATTTCAAAATCATGATTACTTTTGTTTATAATTTCCTTTAGTTTTTTTTAATTCTGATACGTTGTAATAAGTCACGAAATAAGCCCACTATCAGTATTTTTAATAAGTAATAAGTGTGAAATTCAAATTACTTGAACTATTTTCGATAGTATGGGTATTTAAACCGTTACATTCAATTTTAACAAAAATGTCATAAATGTAACAAAAACCTTTTAATTTAACTTCTATTCGAAACGTTCCATTTCTTTTCATAAAAATATTTAAATGCAGTATAATATGCTACATCAAAGCCTATGTAAAGGATTATAATTTATTAGTAGCACAGTCTGAGCAACGCTTTAATATTTGTTTTAGCTCTCTCCAGACTCTTTCCACCACTCCCACTATAATTATATTATCTATATAATTTATTAACACACTTTAACACCACCCTTAAAGGAGTGATATACCACGGTGATCTTTTTTTCTCTTAAATTCTCAAAACGTTTAATGATTGCACTATTGAATATGTATAAAAGTATGACACGATATTGTCGTACAAAATAAAAAGACTACAAATAATATAGAATATTTAAACAACAGACCTCAGTGGTAGCCCTATTCACTACAAAAGAATAGAAATCATATGTTTCTATTCATACAAATATGTGAAATATTATAAAGTAATCAATTTTTTCTCTACCGAAAAACATAAAATTGAATCATATATTTTTGTTTTTAGTCAATAAACGCGGGAGGTGCTACAGGCCCACTACAACCAAAGCAGGCCAAACAAAAGAAAGTCGTCGAGTCCTTCGATGCACGAACAGAAAGGAAAAGAGAGCTGCGTGCGACAATGAATATGCATTTATACACGGCTATATAACTACAGCAGGGCCGAAAGAAAGTCTTATTACACGTTTTCTGGTCTAGCCCCTGTTCTCCCAAAACTAATAACTTGAGGAAAAAAAACTCCGTCAAAAAAAGAAGGAGGGTTGAGGGGACTTTAAAAAATTCAATCCTAATAGTATAATGGACACACCGATCAAATTTTACTTCATATTAAGGGAAACTAAGAGGGCTGAGGAGAGGGACCTAAGAATAATAAGGGAGAAAAAAAGGGGTTTTCTTTAGAGTTATTAAATTTTTTTATCAAAAGAGAGCTAAGGGCTCGGAGCCCTTTGGAGCTCGGCTCGTTACAATGGTAGAGCACACTATGTAAACTTCTTCAATCAAAACATTGTATAACAGTGGTCATAGCNCAAATATAATCTAATAATATTAAAACTTTGACCTTGAGATTTATGTATAGTCGTAGAAAACGCTAAGACTAAAGAAAATTGTTTTCTGTATGAAATAAAAAGTAATTATGATGCATTGGAAAATGTTCTGTTAAATAAGAAAATACTGATATTACGTTTTAGAACATGAAACAATGCTCAAAGATATGATGATTTAACACTTTCTTGTACAATTATGCCTCTATTATTTTTCTTTAAAACTGAAACAATCAGTCTAAAATCTCCTTTTAAAACTATTGATTTACCAGCATAATGGATATTTGTATTACATAAATCACGTAATGTTCTTTCAACTATTTCTAAGGCTCTTTTTGGAATCACAGAAGCCTCATCCCATATGATCAAATATACGTCTCCTTAATCTTTTTTCATATTTATATTCTAAGAACAAACTTTCTATATTGTTTAAGTCTAATGGTAAACAAATTGTTCTATGACTGGTCTTTCATTTTGGAAGTAATATTGATGCTATACGAGTCCAAGCCATAGATAAAATTTTTTTTCACAAGAAATGAAATAACAAATTAACGTTTTGAATAGAAATACTTCTCCTTAACCTTTTGGGCCATCAATAAAAAAAATTTTATTTTTTTTTATTTAAAAAAAATTTTTTTTTCTTTAAAAAAATGTAAAAAAAAAAAAAGATGGAATCTGAATATAAATAAATAAATTGTTTGTTCTTTACTAGAAATAGTTATGTTTATATTAACTCTCTAATTTCAAAATCATGATTACTTTTGTTTATAATTTCCTTTAGTTTTTTTTAATTCTGATACGTTGTAATAAGTCACGAAATAAGCCCACTATCANTTCGAGGTCATGTATAGGTCTAACACGTATCTATTAGTGCCCACTTAATAAGGTACACTTATTACACCAGTACATTAGTGATGGCTGAAAATGTGGGTCCTACGTTTTAACGCAATTTACAAAGTAAACATAACGACTTGACAATTATAATTAACAAGAATTTTATGGTAATGATTCATTTTCTTACTTCTTTTTAAGACTAGATTTGCTTTATTTAATTTTAATTAAGTTTGAATCCACTAACCAATGCTTAATCAATTTATTTTAAAATATCTTGAACGTTGATACTGCACTTAAGCAAAGGGAGTTTTTCAGATACAGAACGTTCACATATCTCATATTAAAAAGCGAAAAGGGACTTCTCAGATACAGCATTTACATAATTCACCATCAATATTTTAACTTTATTTTAAAGTTAAAATATTATTTATTTTAATATTTTAAAACATCGTTTCAAAGTTTAATGTACATTGTAATTAAAAATAAAACTCAAACTTTTCTAAAACATTATACGCAATCTTTTTTTTCAAATAATTACATTATATTTACAGTTTTGCATTTTTTTGTATTTTTGTTTAACTTATTTGAACTTATTTAAAATTACTTGTTGAATATGATTTTCAGAAGATCAAACTTTTATTTGGTGATGAAAATAGAAATATTCAAGTCATACTCAAATATATAACGGTATGTTCCATATTTACATGAATAGTTATTCCGTCATACATTGAATAGTGTTCTTAAGTGGAGTTTTATACTTCGGTAATCTAAATGCCAATGATATTATTACATGACTTATTATTAAAGAGAGAGGTACGGAGAAAGAGAAAGAGAGAGAGAATGCGACACAATAAGCACCTGAATAAAATCGTATTTTTGCTATAAGAAGAGCTTGCAAGGTAGCATATATATATATATATATATATATATATATATATATATATATAAAATACAGCAATGTAAACATATTCATTTACAAAAGGCAGAACTTGAAGAGTATAAGACGTTAGTGTAGATCTATATATGCGTTTGTTTACTTACTTTTTTTACGAGTAATGGCATGCCTAAAAAAATTTTAATCAAGTCACCACACAAAGATTAGAAAAAAAGTACCCTTGTAACAGTTTACGACAATCGCATTTATATAAGGATACATTTCTTGAAAAAAATCAAGATGTGGCGGCTGTAAAATATCTAAAGCTGAGAGAACCTGTAATATAGAAAATGTTAAATTTGAGAATTACATCATTAAATTGTATAACTCAAAGAAAAAAAATCTTAAGAACTATACATAATTTGAAAGAATACAAAAAAATGTTTTTTAAACTGTAGTATTATTTATGATGATGACTAATTTAAAAATCACTTAATATAGTAATCGTTCATATCGTAAGTCACACCTCTAGTTCAACTAATTAATAGACTATCTTAAACCGAGATAAGGGTAAACACAAAATAACTGCTATTTTCCAAAAATATTATGTAGTAATATTAAATGTAAGAAAATACAGTAAAAATAATGGAGAATTTTTTTTTAAGAAACATGTTATTCTGTCACATTTCAAGTTAATCTATTTATGTTTTAAGCTCTACATAATTTAACAAATATAGTAAAAATAAAACTCAATTGTTTAAATAGGATGACTAAAAAGCTGTATGATTAGTTAAACAGAGCACACGAAGCCTGATGGGGCTATTCAACTTTTCTCTTTCTTTGCTTACTCTTTTTTTATTTCCAAAAGTTGTGACGCGTCACTATCCCCTTCAGTATAACAAAATTATAACTAGGTAAAATAAAACTTAATACAAAAAATTTACATTGTAACTACTTAATTTAAATTTTCTAAATGTGAAGAAATATTGCATTTACGGCGGTAATTGTACGAGTAAATTAAAAAAAGAACTTTACATCAGTTGATTTTTGAGTATTATTTTTTTAAAATATGTTACTCTACTACTAAATTTAGTACTAAAAGAAAATAAGGCTATTTTATGAATCGCTTACTGTCCAGTTTGGGCAGGGCCTACAGAATTTACTTAGGGCTCGAATTCTTTGCAAGATACGGGACTATCCTACAACTAACATAAAAAATACTTATTTTTGATTTTTAACTTAAAAAAACCCAATTAAAATTGTCACACTTGTAGGATTCCAATTTTGCGGTATAGTTCTGTAGACTGATATTTAACACATTTTATCAATAAAGAAGCTTTTTTTACATTTGTACAAAGAAATTGAAAAAATCAAACAAAAGCTAGTTAAAAAAACAATTCAAAGTATTTTAATTAAGCAGCAATTTTTTTTGAGTGATAGTTTTACATGGTGATTTAAGTTTATGAATAAGAACACAGGTTAACGTTAGTAATTTTTTTTTTTAATAGAAAACAATGCTTCTTTTAATACAAAAAATGTAAGTGGAAACAGTATTTTAAACTCATCGCTTCTTTATTATCTTGCTATGTCCCTGAGTTATATGTATTCTCTGTCTTTTGTTCAGCAGTAAAATCAGATGAGCTAACCTTATAGTTGTGACAGTTTTTTCGTCACACTTCAAACAAACATTAGTAAAGTTCAAATTCAACGCATTAATATTAGTCGCCGTCAGACCTTGCTTCGCATCAGCATGCAAGTTTTTTGACAATCACATTAGAAATCAGATAGTCACAGGTATAAGTCGGTACTAGGATGCTATTCTGTATGGTGACAGTGCAAGATAACGACAAGTTTAAGATACTATTTTTACTTTTAATTTATGTAATTAAGCCGGCAATAGTTCTTGGTAATCGTTAACTTGTATTTTTATAAATTTAATTGAGTCTATACATGAAAAAACCAAAACAAAACAAGGTGAGGAGTTTAGGGACCACCGGAAGAAGTTTTCTTCGCAGTTCATCGATAGTATCGTGTATTATGATACTCAGTGTCATGATTGTTAGCATAATCGTTAATGCACGACCCAGACCCACTATCATCACTAACTCAGTGTTTCTAAACACTCACTTCAACAACTTTGATAATGTAAATTATGTGATACAAGTTTGAAACTGGGCAGCTGCCTTTGCCTGTCGAGTATTGAAATTTTAATAAGACTACATTCTTAAACAAAATTATTATTTAAATAGTCTGAATCGGCACTTTAATAATTATGTGGTCCTTAAACTATTGTTTTTTGCTTATCTTGTGAGACGTAAGCATGATGTTTCTCTGTTTCTCTGTTTTTTAAGGTAACCTTGTCATCAAACCATTATGAAATAATCTTTGCTCGTTTATATTGATATCCTGAATGTGCTATAATTTTAACTTTTTTTTAAACAAAGAATACCGTTTAAGTAAAGTAAGATCTTATGGCTGTGTTTCTATACGGACTTATTTATCTCTATTATTGTTCCTCAATATTTTTTTTTTTTTTAACTCATAAACTTTTTTTTTTACGTTTTAGCATTAACTTAAAGTAATGACACTTTTTAATTTTTTCGAGGTCATGTATAGGTCTAACACGTATCTATTAGTGCGCTCTTATGATTTCCTGTAAGTTTAGACAACAAATAAAAATTTTTACATTCCGATTTTGTTTATTCTTCAGAATACAACGTTCTTGACGGTGTTTAATAGTCATACTGTTATATTCAAAAAATTGAATACCGAGTATACATTTGTTGTAATGTTTTACAAATGTAGTATTAAAATTTTTGCTCTCATTTGTTAAATTTACACATATTCATTTAATCACATCCAAAAAGGTCACGTGACCCCTCCATGTAGGTCCTGTATAGTAAAGATCCATGTAGGAACTATCTACACTTTCTTATGTGTTTGGTAACCCGCAGATAAGACGTAAGTATACAAATATACACAGATTCATACATCACTCTTTGAAGTGTTTTGCAGTGGCTACTGCTAGAACTGACTGTAGTATTTCCTGACTGTAGTGTGTATGTGAACGTAAGTAACCATGTATACAATGTTTAAATTTCAATATTCTAAATGTAAATACTGCCGTAGAAGTACTAGATAAAAAGTGAAAGAATGAGGGGACAGAGAGAGAGAGAGAGAGAGAGAGAGAGAGAGAAAGAGAGAGAGAGAGAGAGAGAGAGAGCAATACAGTAAACATCTAACATGAAACAGTATTTAGGCTAAAACAAAGGTCTCGCAAGAGCTCTATCTAAATCGTTACAATTTCTTCATATGCAGCAGCATCATTAGCATAGACAGTATCGTCATTTAATAGTGCAAGCAATAGAAAAATAATATACCATTCGTATAAAAATGAGCCGAATTACACACATACGTGTGTGTGTGCTATCACGTATACATACATCTTTCTATATTATATAATTATTTAGAAGAGGCCACAGTTTACACAGTTGCAACGCTCTGATATGAAATAGCGTCCATACATTAGACATCTTATACATACAAAATTATACCCTTAAAAGCATGGCTACTGCGCGCGCATATTGAATGACCTCCAAAACATCTTTGACTTTTTACAATAAGACATCGAAAAAATCGATTTTTATTATGTTTCAATATAATACATGTAGTTATGTTCGTTACAAATATTTTAGATGCCTCTTGTTTATTGTAAATACTCATTAATCAAGTAAGCTGGGTAAAGTAAAAGGAGATTTTTTATGTGCATACCTACATTGCAAAAATGTATCATAACAATGCAAGAAGATACGTTTCTCAGATTCCAAAGGATGCTCACAGGTAAATATGTTCAGAGTAGTCGCATAAAAAAAAAGTTAAATCAATTGAAATATTTCATGGCAGATGTTAATTATGGACTTAATCTTGCGGGCGTGTGGATTTCAGTATGACCTGTACATCAACAACAGAGTTTTTTCAACAATAGTTTTATTACAGTTCTTAAAACCATAACTGTAAACAAATATTTAATAACTACGTCTCTTTATAAATAAGTTCTAAATATATAAAATCTAAATTCTTTATTTTTAAACGTTCCCGGGCTGTACTCTTGGGAGCATGGTACGAACACTTGAAAGTACAGAGTGTCACAATTGCGGAAACTGTGACAAGGCTGCTTACACCTTCCCTCCTCGACCCCACTTGTGCACCCCTTACCACTCACTCAAAATCAGGCTGAACTGCGATCGTTTCTCTGTAAAATGGTTTAAGGATATTTTACTTTAACCCCCTTTACTTCTCTCTGACCCCTCGGCAACCCTTAAATTTCTTTCACCCTATTCAATCCCTTACAGCCAGCCCTCAAAATAAAGAATGATTCGCTTTATCGCTCTGTAAAATTAACACAATTAAATTTTGATCTGCCCCCTGACCCCCTTATTGCCCGATGACACCACTCAAATTTCTCATGCCACCTCCTCGCCCTCCTTAAAAAGACTGTATATAACTGATTGGATGTGCCCAACGCTTTCCCCCTCAACAAAAATGTTCATTTGCTGCCCTCATGTTTAAAAAAAAGGCATTGCAAAAACGTACATTAGAAGAATAAATAATTTGAAAATGCTAATCATAGATAAGTCCTATTACATTATTTTTGAGTGTTGGTTGAATTGGATGCAATACAAAAATAAGCAATAATACATTAACAGATACATGTCACGTACGGTATCATAGCTATACGTACGTGCGTCCCCTCTTCCTTGGGCCTACTGAAGACAATTGTAGTAGGAGGAAGCAGAGGGATAAGTAGACAGGATGCTGAAGTGAGGTTTCTCGCTCGTCCCAATATTTAACGGGGACCCAATTAACTTCCCGCTATTTAAAGAAATGGTAAAGATAGTGAAAACAACAATTCTACGGCCGTCCGTAAAATATTTTATAGGGACATTAGTGGGTAAGTTAAAGGGTATAGCTGCAGACTATTTTTGTGCACGGCTTTTACTATTTAATACGGTCGATGAATTTTTACGAGTACTCTCGCGACGATTTGAAAGCATAGGGGGCACGGAGACGCTGTTAGCAGAATTGAAAATTTTAACGCAGTACGCAAGTAAATGAATTGCACAATACTGCAGTCAGCCACTAAGATTATGTAATAGAATCATGATAACCTATGATTCAAATCTACACCTGGAGCAGTGGAGGAGACAGTAGCGAAAAACAATTCAGATATTCAAGTAGCTAAACAATTTGTATACGGCCTCAGGGCACCATAGAGTTAAAATGTAACTGGACTTAGACCGGCAACGATAAAGGAAGCTATAGAAGCCGCTGCAAAC